AAAGACTGGTGAGGTACAATTACAGAGGCATATGACAAGCTTTCATGCTTGAGTGACTTGAGAACCAATGACATGGCTTTAAACAACAATCCTTCCTACCTCCGGTCACAAAACAGCAATAAGTCAACTGATGCACTGTTGTAAAATCATGATTTATTCCTTTGCTTTGAATACATGAGAGCGTGGTATGATGTTCTGGTAGACTACCACAGCAGGTGCACTTGGGGCCGAAACATCTAGGGCCTGCCTCCAGCATGCATAAAATCAATGCTGTAGTTCAGCCTTCCTGGAAAAGCCATCCCCAGAACTTTAATAATTTATAGAAAGACTGAATTAAAAAATTATTTGTACTGAAACTCATACAGCTCCATGCAACTAGTAAGAATACATGCAGATGCAGTGACGTGTGAGAAAATGGTGCTGTGCAAGAACATACAGCATGACATTCAGGAAAGGTCTTCCTTTTACAGCTAAAGTGAAACAACTAACAGCCACCTCTGTGAGCAGATCAATTCCTTTGTTTCATTCATCCTTTAATTAATCCAAAGCCATATAATTTGTTTCTCTTTCATAGTTTACCGTTCAAAAGCCAGAAATGGTAATTTTTGCTACAACAGATCTTACAGAGCATAATCCTCAGGCTAGCTGAATCCATCTCACTCCAACACTAAGCCTGAAGCAAGCTGTGAGGTTGGTGATAATCACATTATTAAAGCGGCTGGAAAGCCAAGCTAATAAAAGAATCAACAGTTAGGGCAAATAATGACCCAGAAGCTACGACAGAAAGGAGTAGTGGGAAGTTTCCAGTTATATCTTGGTAGTAATTGGTAGGGCAAGTAGACAAAGATCTCCACACCAAAGGAGTTTTTAAAGGGGGTAAAACCACAGAAAATCAATTTAAAGAAAGATACAAAGTATATATAACAATTGCAAAAATCAGAAGATGTGTATAAAACAAAGCCTGCTTGGCTGATATAAAATACAAGCTGACAACTGAAACACACCCTCAGGATAAAATGGTACTTATCTCTTTTTTTTTTTTTTTTAATTAAAAAACTCTACTCAACAGCTTAAAATAGGCAACTTTCTTTTCTCTTTCTCTTTTTTCCTCCAAAGTAAACCTTCTTTTTAAATGTAGCATCATTTTCCCCCCATTTTCCATAACAGGACTGATCCTTTACTTGAGTATAATGAAAGCATGAAATTTATAAGGCAGATATGATAGACAAAAAATTCCTGTACATAAGTGTAGTTTTCCATTCCTGGCCCCCCACAAGAAAGGTGAGGAGAAAGTGAGCAAGGCCTTGAATTATGCCTTTTGTTATCAGTCACTGCCCTGAGATAGTGAACCGAAACAGAGCTGATAACTCGAAGGTGACATCACAACACAGTCTTCACGAACTGACATAAACACTTGATATTCAGTTAACCCCAAAGATAGGGGACAACTCCCTTAACAGAAAGTTGTACTTGATAGCACTATTTTTGAACAAATAATCTTTTTGAGTATTGAGCTGTAATTTAGGAATATTAAAACAGGACCTTTGCAACACAAAGTACCAGTCTACTGCATTTTGTACACAATAGTAAAACAGCACAAAGCTAGCAAATGCTAATGTCCAAATATACGCCATTTGCCTATTTGTATTATATTAAGCAATCCAACATTTTAAAGAAGAAATATCTTATGCCAAAACCACATTTAATCATTCTTGGCAATTCAATTAAATTCTTACAGGAGATACAGAGAAGTGTTTAATTTACTTTTTAAAGTGTATTGCTCTGTAAAGAAACAAGCCTCTCATCAGTCCTGTTCTGTTTATGAAAGAGATTAGCAAGTAGCAGTTCTCACTGAAGTTCCTGGTAAGCCACGTCTATTTTTCTGCTTTATCAGAACTCACTAGTGCAAGTGAAAATTAACCCAGTCCTGTATCAAAAGTGATGTGGCACTAATTTCATTTAGCTATGACTTAAGTAATGCTAGTAGACTGAAAAAATAACCAGAAGAAAGTGAAATTGATGTGCTATCTCTTTTTGGACTTGACCTGCAATCTACTATTTACATTCACACTTCGGGAACATTCTTCAGGACATCTAAATGCCACTACAACTGTCTGCTATTGCTACCTGTCCTTGTCCAGGAGAGTGATAAAAATTATTTCCAAGTGAGGACACCATCAAGACGACTATTACTTCATGAAAAGGTTTGGAATAAACAGCTGAATTTTTAACAAAGTTAAGGTTTCCCAGAACCAGCATATTGTATCTGTTGTTCTGTAATGACTTCCAAAGAGCTTGGAATCTGAACATAGAAATAAGGTGGTCTAGATCAGTGCAGTGTGATTCTGATACCTCCTCTTCTCTTGTCATATCATAGCAACAGAGATCAGCCGAGATGTTCAGCCTAACAAAAACAAGTCTTAAGAGGATCCAAATGTAGGCTGAGAGTACGATTCCAAATCGTGTTAAGCAGACGGACACGTGCCCACCTGCAGAATGAATCTTCCACGGGCACAAAGCTGCCATCATGATTCTCATCTCCTCTCTACTGGAGCAGTAAAAGAGGTTTGACCGGGGCATCATTGGAGCTGAGTTTTTTTATGGTGGGGTTTTTTAGGGGGTTTTTTGTTTGTTTTGTTTTTTGTTTTTTTTAAAAATATATAGCAAGCTGGGTCCCAGACTTGCAAACTGAAAAAAAAAAAAAAAAAATTTGATTCCACAGTTTTGCTACATCATGTGAACTTCTACTAAGCCAGGTTCTTTGAAAGAGCTTTCCCTTCAAATTCTCTTTGTTCATTTGGGTGGTCTTATTACTGTGTTGTAATGCCCAACTCTTCCCCTAGCCATTTTGGCAGGGGGAAGAAGAAAGTGTGATAGAATATGGAAATTTCCTAAGATAAAGTAAAATCTTTGGTGGTTAAAAAATATATCATAGACTAGTAATTTGAAGATTGCTTATATTCACTATTTATTTTTCTGGTTTTCAGTTGTTCATGTGGCCTCTGCTTATATGACCCCATGTTTCCTTTACTCTCCAATCACCATGGACTTATTAGCTCTGTATTCTGCAAACCACTGGTAAAGTGCTGTCATTGTGCATTTCCCTAACTGGAACGGTGATTGTAGATTCAGGGACCCAACACTGTGATGTTTAAAAAACAAAATAATAAGGCAGTTATATAAATGCTACTACCACCTAGAATTATAAAACCTGTCAGGCTTTTATGGCGATTCTGAATCTTCTTTATCTTCAATTTGCTTTTGACTCAAAAGAATTTAAAGGGGTTTTATCCACTATTTATAATCCAAAAATTCTCACTCCTTATATGCACACATATGTATTGGAAATTGGCACCTGCAAGTCTGAAAATATTAATTTTTAGTACTATATCCAACCTTGTACCTATGTGTTGAAAACAACTGTTCATTTATTTGGTAATACAGTTAGCAGTGTACAGGAACATGAAGTTGATTTTCCACGACAGAATGCATATTAAACAAAATGTTTTAGGTAGTATTGTTGAAAAAAAAAAAAAAGGTATTTTCAATGACTGTGCTTAACAGGTTAAAGATTCTGTATAACAAATATACTCTATGATGAAAGTTGGTTATAAAGTGACAGTCTTGTACTAATGTAAAATTAATCCCGGGAATATTTTCAAAATACAGGATATTTTAAAAACTCATAAGATTTTGTGAAGAGTAAAACAAAATAACATCTGAATATTTAGGTATATTTTCAAAATGAAACACAACATTCTTTTATTAATCAGTCTAAGCAGGCATAAGGAGGAAAAAAAACATTTTAATGTGGGCAGTAGCCCAAAACCTTTATTAAAAGAATGCTATTTTGAGTTGTACGTTATTATCAATCTGAAGAGCTGCTCTAAATCAGAGCTATTACAGTATGCACTCCCAAACCACTCTAACAAAGATGAATCTACCTATTACCAGGTTAGGATAGCAGCTATTATTAAGGACCCTTGATTTCTTTCAAGTAGCTCCAATGGAATAAGCCACAAGTGAATAATAAAGATCTTATAATAGCCCTTAAGAATTCTTTTTAGGTTAGAAGGCACAGAAATGAACTCAGGAGAGTTAAAGAACTCTCATCTCCTGATAAGAAAAATAATTAACCTGACTTAATGTATCTGAGTAGGTCTTATATAAATCAGACTTTTGTACTTCAAGAGCCAGACTAAAACCATATATCAGAAAAGTATGTAGATATTGTCTTATAAGTACACATGGAACATATCTAAAACCACAAAGGTCTGCAGGTCATTTTGTGAAATGTTCAATATATTCTACTTAAAAGGAGATGTGTGAAGTACTTACAGTGCTTAGTTTGCTAGAGGTAATAATGATTCGTCTCTCATGCAACATACTGGCATAAAGTTGCAGCATGTTGTTCACATCCACAGCAACAAAATATTCAGTGAGGTTTCTCTGTTTAAATAAATAAGATGTTAACAATATAGCAACAGTAGTAGCTAAGTGGAACATTTTATATATTACTTACAAAAATTTTTGTCCAATTAGTAGGTGGGAAAAAAAGAAGCCAACCCAAAACTATAAAAGAAATCCCTTTGCATTAAAATTTGTATGCTTTAAGAATAATTGATTGGGTTTTAAAGCCAATGAAAAACTAATTTTGGGGTAAGCTATCATGAATCTAGACTTGCCCTTTTTTTTTTCAAATTTGAAAAAATATGAAATTTGGTATTATATCAATAGCACCATATGCTATTAAGGTAACCATTACTTCCAACCCAGTAACAGATCTTCCACCACTGCAATAACTGTTCTGTCATAGCTACAATAATAAAACTGTGCTATTTGCCAGGCTCTCCCAAAGTCAAAACATTTTATTCTACTTCAAGTACAACAAAACAGCTTGTTGAAAAACACCAAGCTTTTGCTTGAGCTGTATGTGTCAGGACATCAAATGTCCAGCAGCACTGGTTGAAGGTACTGGGTCCTTCCTGCAGCCACCCTTTTCGCCCCTGATGAGAACCCCACTGCCCCCCACAGTGGGGTTTCATGAAAAGCAAAGTCACCAGCACCTCTTATTTATAATTCAGACAACACGAAAGTGGGGTGGGAAAGAAAAAAAGGGAGGGTGGGGGGGACAGGAAGGGGAGGGGAGGATCTCTGTGTTCCAACTGAACTTAACAGTATTTCTGCATGGCGCCATGCCAGAGACATACAAGTTCTGAATACACTAAAACAGCTACCAGCAAAAATGCCTAGAAAAACAGCAGATTTTTGTAAACGTTAGAGAATATGTGTGAAAATACACTAATACACCCCACAACATACAAAACATTTAATTTCACACATTCATCATCGTATCTGCGACCAGAACTCTTACTCGTCTCTTCTCAGGAACAACATATTACTGAACGTTAATGTAGGAGGTCTATCAACTATATGCCCCAACCCAAGGATGGAAATCTGAAGAGTGGAACTGTTAGTCTACACTGGATGTGGCCAACACATGGCAGCAAGGTAATGCACCCCTGAAAAAACAGCAAGAGCAAGACAAGTCGTAAAGGCTTCAGAGCAGGGTGACCCCTCCAACTGCCAGCACCCCCCTGCGGGGACCGGGACTCAGCAGCCGGCTGCGGCCGCTCCGGCTCACAGCCCTCCGCAGCCAGGGCACGCGGCATGGGACAGAGCTGCTGTTCACCAGCTCCTGGTTTATCTCCTTACAGACTCTACTATATGAAAAGCTAACTTTAGTTAAAGCCCGGATGATGATCAGAAGGTTGACCTCCTTTTCGGATATATTGCAATATTAAACAAAAAAAAGATATTGAAAAGACAAACGAAGATCCAACGGACGATCCAGTTTCATGTAAATTCAGAAATGCATTATTAATTTGAAGACACGGACTACAGAGTTAATTCCTGGTCCACGCTGCATAAAATTTTGGAAGAGAGAAAAACAAGAGCTTTAAGGCTACAAACACTCCATATTTAGAAAGAAACTCTGGTCTTTCAAGTGCTACTTTTAACTGGTTGTCAGAGGCTGATGCACCATTATAATTTGAGTCCAATTTACCTCAGACACCCTCTAACTGTAGTTGATAATGGTATGCTGATTCGGTGTTGCAAAAGCTGTGGTAAAAAGAGTTTGCAATCTTGTACAGAGCAGTATACCTTTGGGAGGCAGTCACAGTTATTTCTGCGTTACATCCGAAAACTTACTGCCCCTGAAATATGTGAATCTTACAACAAAGAATAAGAAAATTCATTTTATTGCTCATTTACTCTAATTACCTCATCTCTTCACTCCCTGCATGTTCTAACCCTCCATTAGTACCATACTATTTTGATTCATACTGGAAGGATAAGACTTTTATAAATGGAATAAAAAATAATTACAGGAAGGCACCTTGAAATTACTTTTCCTTTCTCCCACAGAATCAGAAAAATAAATCCATAGTGGCACCACCGCAAGATCCTCCATCAGCCAGAGGCCCAGAGTGAAGCTTTCCCACATTTTGTTCAAGTTGAACACACAACACACCTTCTAGCCTCCAAAGCTATGTTTTATTAGAACCCCAAATAATAAGCTAGAATAGAGGAATTCAACCCGTAGGTGAAACAGATGAAAATGAACATTTAAAAGCTAAGCCCTGTCCTGCCCTTGCAACAAGGGTCCTCTCTTTTACTCCCCTATCCAGCAACCTTCCATAGTCTTCTGGGTTGCAACAAGGGCCCGCGCCATCTCCTCTGGGTCCTGGCGCAGACTCCTTTCCACCACCACAGACGTACCCGCAGGCCCCCTCCCCGCTGCGAGCACCCTCCCGCTCCTGGCCAGCCTGGGTCTCCCCGGCTCCCTTTCCTTCCCTCGCCCGTCCCACCCTGCGGCCCAGAGCCGCCGCC